AGAGAGAGAGAGAGAGAGAGAGAGAGAGAGAGAGAGAGAGAGAGAGAGAGAGAGAGAAAACTAGGAGAAGTATGGATGTGATAGTTATCCTTAAGAATATGAAGGGCTGACCTGTGGAAGACTTACTCTATTTAACCCCCAGAAGGCAAACCTAGGAACAATGTGAGTAAGCTACCAGGAGGCAAACTTAGGCTCAAAGTCATAAAAATATCCCTAACAACTAATTGGAGCTGTCCGCCGCTGTAATGTGGGTTGCCCTTCCTTGATATCTTCAGGCAAAGGCTGGATATGTTTTATGTGGAATTCTTTAGATAGAGGTTTGGATTCATTATCTCCAATGATTTAAAATCTACATTCTTTGTAGAGTAGCTAATTCAACCCAGCTCTCAGTTAATAATAGAGATGTTCAGGATATCACTGGACCAAATCACAGAGAAAACATATCTTCAATGTGTCCTTATTGTATAGAGGGTGAGATGCAAACTTTTCAGCCTGCCGTTTTCAAGCCCTCTGCAATCTGGCTATTGGCTGCCTTTTCACACTAATTTCATATTGCTCTATATACCTTGTTTTCCAGTCAAATTGATCTTCTAGCTATTGCCTGAATATGACATGCTATCTCCCATTTCCATGAGCTGCTCTTAGAATGCCCAGCTTCATTCAGGACTCAGCTCAGATGCTACCTCCTACCCAAAACCTTTCTCAATGTGCCAGATTTTTAGCACTTTCTCGGTATTTGCTTATCTGTGCATATGTTGTATATAGGCACCATGGAGTCATGGGGAGATGACTGACCTTGGGATACATGGATTTAAGACCTATGTCTGACACAGATTAGCTGTGTGTCCCTGAGAAAGCCCCTTAACCCTCTCAGTACCCTAGCTAGATGTTATAGAGTTTATCGAGCTGAGTCTGTTATGGACATTTCCCTATTGGGAGTTCTGTATAAAGTCTGCATTTTGGACCAAGCATGTACGTTCTATCTTCCTAGTTAGTATGCAGACTTCTTAAGGAAGACGTGTCAGAGGTAGGACTGAACCCAGGTCCTTCTGAGCTCAAGGGCAACTCACAATTTACCACTCCATTCTACCTTTCTAGTACTATTGCAATATTTAAGGAAAGACACTATTTTTTTCTTTTTGTCATCATATCTTAACACCTGCTACAGCACCTTGAACACATTAGGCACTTAATAGATTGTTGAATATTGAAAAACATCAATCATTGTTTTTTTGTACAATTTCCTCTCACCAAATGATTAAAGTTAATGCTCTTGAACATGCTTTCATTTCATTTTCTGACTTCACTTGTACTTGATTCATAGAATGTCTGTATTAGCTAGGGGTGGAGGGGTGCCTTCAAGATCATCTAGCTCAACCCACTTATTTTACAGATGAGGAAACTGAGACCCGAAGAGGTCAAGTGACTAGTGTAGTGTCTTACAGCTATTTAGTGGCAGAGCTGTGACTTGCCCCAGGCCCATTAGGATAATATTTTTACATTTTCTATGAGTAATTCTTTCCAATGACTTATTTCTGAAGACTCATCTTCTGAGTTAAAATCTGGGCTCAGACACTTCCTAGCTATAAGACCCTACTCAAGTCACTTAACCTGTTTGCTTTAGTTCCTCATCTATAAAATGAACCAGAGAAAGAAATGGCAAACCATTCCAGTATCTCTGCCAGGAAACCCCAGATGAGATTATGAAGAGTCAGACAGGACTGAAACAGCTGAACAATAACAACAATTCTTTCTGAAAGGTCTCAAAGCTCCATTTAGCTCCATTTCACCTTCATTTAGATAAAAATACTGAAACTTGACACCCTTGCCTTCTCTGAAATTCAGTAGATGTTAGTTGACTTGATTTGATTTTTTTTCTTTAATCTAGACACTGGGGAGTAATTTGGTTGGACTAGAAAATGGACTGGAAAGCTGTTAGAGGAATTAAAGATTATATAAGAAGCCCCCAATTTAAAATATTACAACAGTACTAGAAAAGCAGCATGGAGTGGTAGGTTGTGAACTGGCCTTGAGCTCAGGAGGACCTAAGTTCAGGTCCTACCTCTGACCCTTACCGTTGTGTGACCCATGTCAGTTCAGTTCTTAACATCAGGCAAATTACAGAACAGTTGCTAATCTACACTGGTAGAGTTTCCTCATTGGGGAGCTCTCTACTCCAGATGAAATCACAGATCTGGGCCCAAAACCAAGCCTAGCCCAATAAAACATGTAAAATTTCATTTAAAGAGAAAACCACAGTGTTGAGAAGACAATAAAAGGTCATCCAGATGGACAAATCAGCCAAACATTGGTCTTTTTTGGCATAATGAAGGATAGCTCTGAATATATTCTTGGAAGAAAAACAAAGTACCCTGATCAAATCCAACTCTTTCTTGGAAGAATGGTAGCCCGTCATATGTTGTTGTTGTTGTTATTGTTGGATGGATAGAGCTTGAAGCCACCTGGTTTGGGTATCGCCCAGATGGAAAGAATCTGAAAAACAACCAAGAATTTGCTTAGTTGCCTATAGAGGGGAAAATGGCAAAGTAGTCTGAAATTTTAATTATAGCAGCTCACATTTATATAGTGTTTTAAGATTTGCAAAGCACTTTATAAATATTTTCCCATTTTAATCCTGGGAGGTAAGTACTGTTATTATCCCACAGGTACAGTGCTTGGCACATAGTAAGCACTATGTAAGTGTTAGCTATCCATATTGTCATTATCACCCCCATTTTATAAATGAGATAACTGATTTGCCCAAGATCACACAGCTAGTAAGTGTGTGAGGCTGGATCTGAAGTCAGGTCTTGCTGACTTTAGGTCCAGTGCTCTATCCATTGAATTACCTAGCTTTCCTTATGGAAAAAAAAAAAAACCGCATAGTGTAACATAGGATTTGAAACAAAATTTGAGATTCTTTCACTGTTATTTCTGTGCATATGATTCCCAGTCTATATATTCAGCCCAAGTCTCTTCCTCAAGCTTCAATCCCTGATCACTGATTGCCTATTGGACATTTCATAATGTATATCTCGGAGCCATCTTAAACTCACCATGTCTAATACTGAATTCGCTATCTGTCCCCCAATCCCTAAACCCTCTCATTTCCTAAACTTACCTATTTTTGTCAAAGGTACCACCATACCTCCAGTCACCCAGGTGCATAATCTCAGGATTATTCTGAGCTTCTCCCTCTTCCTCACCCCACATATGCATTTGGTTGGTCATGTTTTACTTACATATATCTGTCAAATCCTATTCCTTCTTTCCATTACCTTATGTCAGGTCCTCATAAGCTTCAGTATGGATTATTGCAATAGCCGGCTAATTGTTTTCTCTGCCTCAAATATCTCCCCATCCTTACATCCTATAACTGCTGCCAAAGTAATTTCCCTTAAGTGAACATCTGACTAGGTGACTCCCCTAATCAGTTGACTCCAGAGGCTTCCTATTGCCTCCAGGACAAGATGTAAACTCCTCTGTTTAACTTGTCAAGCTCTTCACAATCTGGCCCCAAACTATCATTCCCCCTTCATTGGAATTACTCCCCCTCCCTCTTTCTCTGATCTAGAAAGACTGGCATTAACTGTTCATCACTCATGACACTGTTTCTCCTCTCCGTGGTTTTCCTCTGGTGGTCCCAAGTGCCTAGTGTCTACTCCCTCCTTATCTTCACCTCCAGAGTCCAATCTCTTCCTCCAGGATACAGCTCAAGTATCATCTTCTGCATGAAACCTTTCCTGAACCCCCAAATGCTAGTGCCTTTCCTCCAGACTACATTCCATATAACTACTTTGTATTTGTTAACTTGATATTTATTCTTTGTGTGAGCATGTGTGTGAACTTCTGGCAAGCAGGAGTTGTTTCATTCTTTGTACTTGTTTCCTCAGTCCCTAAGTGCCTAGGAAGTAGGAAGCACTTAATCCATACTTGTTGATTGTCTTGTTGATTATCTCAGGATTTTCCACTAGTGAGCTACTCTGATGCTTGTTTGTGTGTGGAAGTGTCCCTGGGAGAGTCATGCTGGTTGTATCAGGAGAATACAAACTCTAGTAGGTTCTGCCAAACTGAAATGATTCCAAATACCAACCTAGCAATAGACTGTATGTCTGACATTAAAGGATGGACCTAAGGGCAAATAGACTCATTTCTAAATTGTTTGTAGCATGATGAATTTTTCTGCCACAATCACTCTGACCCCGTTGTAGATGCCTTGTCATTTGCATCCGTGAGTAAGGAGTACCCACAATATTAGGGATCTATTGAATGGAATGCATAATAGATAAGACAGCCTTAGAGCCAGGAGAATCCTGAGCTCAGGTCCCACCCACCACTGACACATTCTGCTTGTATGATTCTGGATTAGACTTAATCTTTCTTTTCTATTCTATGCAAGGAAGATGGAGAGTCAGTAATGTCCTAAACTCCAAAGGTCAACAGAGAATAAGCACAGACAGGAGAAATTCTTTATCTATAGGATGAGACTATAATCTTTTGGTTTAGAAATTCTGGTTTCCAAAAGGGCCAGTCAGAGAAGGGGCTGGGCTGCATTAGAAGAGGGAGTTTTCTCACTGGGTAGTTCACAGTGAAGTGACAAGTCCAGTCTTTAGCCCTACTCCCTTCCTTGTTGACTTAGACTTAAGGGAAAGGATCTTAGGAGTCAAACACAAGGCCTGCCCCAGTGTGGCAGGAACCAGATTAAAATATAATTGGGAAACATTTAACAAGAGAAATAAAAATACATTAGGACATAATTTGTGGTTTTCTGAGTAAATATGTTGTCAGCAAGGATCCTTGTGTAAGGCTTAGTGGACTTTCACATCACCTTGTTGTTCAGTCATTTCAGTCATGTCTGTTTCTTCGTGACCCCATTTTGGGGTTTTCTTGGCAGTGACACTGGAGTGGTTTGCCATTTCCTTGTCCAGCTTATTTTATAGATGAGGAAACTGAGGCTATCACGGTTTAGTGACTTGCCCAGGGTCACACAGTCAGGAGGTAATGAGTCTGAGGCAATGAGTCTTCCTGACTCCAGGCCCAGTGTTGTATCCACTGTGCCACCTGGCTGCCCTTGTTATCACTGCTCTAGTCTAAACATCTCATCCTACAGATGAGTTATCGGAGACTCAGAAAAACTTAATCAACTTACCTAGATAGATAGTAAGGTCACATAGATAATAAGTAGCTAAGCTTGTATTTAAACATAAGCCTTCTTTATAGATAGATAGATAGATAGATATCTTTATAGATAGATAGAGCACTGGGTCTGGAGTCAGGAAGACGGGCTTTCAAATCCAGCCTCAGACACTTACTAGCTTTGTGACCCCAAGGCAAGTTATTTAATCTTTGTTGTCTCAGTTTCCTCAACTGGGGGATAATAATGGCACCTACCTCTCAGTATTGTTTTGAGGACTAAATGAAAATAATATTTGTTTTAAAAAACACAAAAATACAAACAACACTTAGCATAGTGCCTGACACATAGTAGGTGCTTTACAAATGCTTCTTCCTGGTACATAGTAGGTGCTATACAAATGCTTATACCTTTTCCTTCTCTAAGTATAAGCCTTTGTCTTCAGAGAGTAGTTCAAGATAATCAATAATTAATTAACAAGCATTTATTAATTGACCAAGTGCCAGGCACTCTGTGTGGAAGATGCTGGCATAAAGGATTAAAGAGTGAGGGGGCAGCTAGGTGGCGCTGGCCCTGAAGTCAGGAGGATCTAAGTTCAAATCTGGCCTTAGACCAAACGCTTGACACTTACTATCTGTGTGGCTCAGGGCAAGTCACTTAACCCCAATTGCCTTAAAAAAAATTAAAGAGTTTACATTCTGTCAGGGAGCCCCACTGAGGCCAAGGATTAGCTGCAGTGCATGAAAAGATTATTTCCTGAGGATGGTTAGTAACATTCTAAACTCCAGGGCTCAACAGAGAATGACCACAGACAGGAGAAATTCTTTATCCTTAGGGTGATGGTATAATCTTTTGGTTTGGAAACTCTGGTTTCCAAAAAGACTAGGCTCTATCTTGCACCACAAAGAGGCTAGGCAGGAAATCTCTCCATTTTGGTGGGAAGGGCTCAGAAAAGGCTATCCAATTAGAAATCAGGTGAATTAAATGAAATAGTAATTCAAGCGTATACAGTCAAAGAGTCAATAAACACTTATTAAGGGCTTACTATTGCTAGTGCTAAACATGGAATACAAAAAGAGACAAAAACATGGTCCTTCCCCTAAAGGAGCTTATAGTCTAATGAGGGATAAAATATGCAAATAATTATGCCCGTACAAGATATGAACAGTATAAAAGGGATGTAATCTCAGAGGGAAGGCACTGGAGTAAAAAGAGAGAAAAAGCCTCTTGCATACAGAAGGTGAGATTTTAGCTGGGTATTGAAAGAAGCAGGAGAAGCCAGAAGATGAAAATAAGGGAAAGAATTCCAGGCATGTGGGACAGACAATTAAAAGGCACAGAGTCATTATATGGAGTGGAATGTTCAGGCCTCAGTGAGACAGCCAGTGTCCTTGGATCATAGAGTATGGGAAGGAGTAAAGGCTAAGTCAGGGGCCGCTAGGTGGATAGAGCACTGGCCCTGGAGTCAGGAGAACCTGAGTTCAAATACAAACCCAGACACATAACACTCACTAGCTGTGTGATCCTGTGCGAGTCACTTAACCCCAATTGCCTCACCAAAAAAAAAAAAAAAGGATAAGTCAACTGGAATGGTAGTAGGTGTCTGAGTGGTGACAAACTTCAAAAGTCAATGGAGGTTTTCGCTTTGATCCTGGAAGTAATAGGGAGCCACTGGAGCTTATTGAGTTGGGAGATAAGATGGTCAGACCTTGTTAAGGGAAGTCTCTCCATTATGCTAAGAAAGGGCTCAAAAAAGACAATAATTGGAAATCAGGTTCATTAAAGAAAACTGGAGTTCCAGCATATTTTGAACACCTGCCTTTTGGAAGGCTTTTTAAGAGATTAAAAAATGTATATAATAGTCCCTGCTGCTAAGGACCTCCAGGCTACAGGTATGTCCTAAAGTTGTAGGTGGCAATTCCCTTATTAGAGGTTTAGTTTCTGTATTTGAAGAGGGAAATGAAAAACTGGAGATTATCCAAATAAAAACAGTAAAAATGATTAAGAACACAAAAATAAGACTGATGAAGAAAGAGCAAAAAAGTTGAAATTATTTCATCTGATGAACACAATAATGAAAAGAAATAAAACTTACTTCAGTGATATTACTTGAATGATTGTTTTAATGATGACGCCAATTTGTATCCCTAAGTACAGAACTAAAGGAAATGACCTACATTGCTGTAAATTAATACATAGCTGCTCTAAATCAGTTGTAAACTAAGGCAATGCCCATCAGTTGAGGAGTGGCTGAACAATTATGGTAAATGAATGCAATGGACTAGTATCATCCCATGGGAAATGATGAAAGGGGTGGTTTCAGAGAAACTTGAATAGAAGAAGACTTCAATAAACAGAG